CTTGAGCACGTAGCAACTCGAGGTCCTGCTCAAGCTTTGGGATATACTTCCTGACAGCCCTAAGACCATCCCTGTATTTGGATTTATCCAGAGCCTGTACAGAAGAAATGGAAAGAAATTATGTGAAGGCAAATTTAGACGATTTACATTGCAAGCTCTCTTTCCAACATTGTACCAAATGGGACATTAAAAAAACATGCTTGATATGAGAGAACATTCTCAAAGCTGGCTGAGTCATAAGGTGAAGATATAGAAATACTCTCACACAAGACAAAACTTTTCCAAGAGTTGGAAATCCGTTTAAGGTGGCTACGATGTAAACCATCATACTGTTTTTTATGGGACAAATTAGAAGAGTTTGTCATATTAAGGAAATGATTGTACTTAGTATGCCACATGATCCGGGCTCTCAGAAAACTGAAATTAATTTTAACATTTGGGTTAAAAATAGAATCAAGAAAGGAGAGAAGAAAGACCTTCTTTCTAGAAAGAGTGACCCGAGGTGACATAATCTCTGTCGGAGGCTGAGAATAATTTCCCTCTGTACATAATTATTGTATTATCTTCATGAATGTCAAGCACAATTCCACCTGTCAATCTTGCAAGCTCAGCAGCAATCTCCTTGACTTCCTCCGGTGAGAATGTCTTAACCACCACCTTCAAAGTCTGATGCTTTTTCCAATGAAGGTGCATGTTAAAATTACACCTGGTAAATTCCTCGTCTCCCAACCGGCACATAATTTTTGCACTTGAGGCCCATCTTCAAAAAGAAAAAGTGCTCTTCCGGAGTCAATATTTCTGGATCATGGGTTGTTTCAGATGATTCAGCTGGCTCAATCTTATTTAAAGCTGTTACAAGTCTTTCCTCTTTCTTTTGAGCCTGAAGAACAAATGGAGGAAAATGCACATGAACCAAAAGTTGGAAACAGAAGAATTTACAGGTACTAGAATACATATGACCATCTAAATAGCCCCAACTTCAAAATCACTCACTCACGAGGGAGAGAGAGCAGTGGCTTGAGTTACCCTACTGTAAGGATTTTGTAGAAAAACTGGGAATAACCTTTCTAAGTTTGTAAAGAATTTTTTCTTCAGCTGTCATTCTTTCATAATCTCTCTTCTTCCACCTGAAGAATTTCAACCACCTTACTACGGCTCGTTTACCCTTCAGTTTCTTCCTCTTCGCCTTAAGGCTACCACTACAAGCATCATCAGTACTAGCACCTCTCTCAGAATGGTCGGATGCCCCAACAAATTTTTCAGAAGCATTCAGAAATGGAGCTGAAGAATCCAGCCATGCCCTTCGAGCATAAACCTCTTTATGTCATAGGTTGGAGCAAAAGTCTGGTGTGGAGCAAAATCCTTGCATATAACATTACCCAAGCTACTTCACAGTTAGTACATGCAAATTAATCATGAAGCCTTTTTTTAATTCCATGAAAGCAAAGGAGCAATAATTAACATGGTTTTCCAATGAAACCTAAGCCAAACCAAAAGCAAAAGTGAACCCAATTAAATTTTTATTTTTTTACAATAAAGATACAATAACATAAAATATTATCAGGTACACCAAATTCCTAAAATGTCGGTCACAAAGATTATTCATTTCATGTTGAAATCATCCCAAATTGCCACAAGCCGAGCCCAAATTGCCACAACAAAACTATCTTTGAACATGTAATGAAAATCATATAGGCTTACTTTTGGTATTTGAAGTTTTTCAGCCTTGGAAACAGCAAAGCTTCTAAAGGGACTACTGATATGAGATTTGAACAATCTTCCTGAAACAAAATCCCAAAAGTATTAGAGCACAATAACCCGTATGGCCTAAACCCAGAATAAAGTTCATTTCTTTAGTACCCAACAAAGGTAAAAGACAAAGGAACCATTCATGAAAAAAAAACCCCTCAAATAATAAATTAAAGGAAACCCCTTCTTCCACTAATCATATCTACAATCAAAGTGTTTGTAAAAATTACTGAAAGAGGAGAAACCTCATAAAAAAACAAGCATGTGGACGTCAAATATGAGTTCACAGCAAAAGAAACTAATAATGAGTGCATGAATCTACAGAGAGATATGGAGGGTACCATGAAGAGGAGAGTAAGATTTCGATAAGAGAACAAAGAGGAGTTACTGCCATCGCAGCAACGCATGATAAAGGGAAGCTTCACAATATGCAGTGCCATTTTCGGCTTCGTTAAGTGGTTTTCTAAAGGTTGTTTGCTCTGTTCTGTTCGGACAAGCAGATAAACCTGTTTTAGGCTCACACTTGGCAATTCAATGTACTCAAAGCTTAAAACGGCTTGCCACGGGCGAAAAGACCAGCGAGTAAGATTTTCGGCATACGCTTGGGCTGACAGCCCATCTTGTATTGGCAAGCCAACCCCAACACAAAATTTGGGCCTATTTGCCTAAATATGGTGATACAAACAATTATTATTATTATTATAAATTTGAGGTGAATAGAAGATAGTAGTATTTAAAAATTATCGATCAATTGAAACTGATCGTATATATTATTATATCCGTGGTTTTTCAACCCAATACTTTAAAGAATAATAAAAAAATCTTTTAACCGTTTAATTTATGCAAATAATACTTGAGCATTATTCAGAGATTATTATATTTCAAATCATCATATATCTTATTTATTTTATTATGATAAACATTAGTAATATTTTCAGATCATTATGAATCATATATGTTCACTTGATTGTTATACTATATTTATTTATATATGTAAACTTAATCATGATATTTTGTTAAACAAGTTATACGACAATGGTCTTATATAAGTTAACATGTTTAAGTTTATCTGTAACACACGTACATCATGCAAACATCAATAACATTTTAAATTATTCCTTAAATTATTTTACCCTATAATTTTAAATTATTTTTTTAATCTCAAAATGTTTTAAATTCAACTGTATTTATATAATTTTTTTTTTGAATTTTTAAGTTTTATATTTAGATGATGTAATTCAAATTTTTAAGATTAGATTATATATTATGGGCTTTTAACTTTTACATTTTTAGTGTGATTTTTTAAAATAACAAACCGGGAAATATAACATAAATATGAGTCGGGTATACGCGATTTAAAAATGTGAATACCCAACCTACGAGTACCCAAATTTTACACATCGAAATACAGACCGACTAGTTTAATACTAAAAAATAATATTTAATAAGGTATATATATATATATATATATATTCGATAATGAACACTCCCATCCTGTGTCACTGTCACATGCACAATGACTCCCGACCACCAACCAGCACCGCCACACCCACGAAAACGACCTTTTAAATTTTACCGTCGTCTCTCATTGTGCGTATCTTTCACGCGCCAGAGTAGAATCGGGTACGGTGAACAGTGAAATAGATCTATTTTGGCCTTGTACTTTTTTGCTTATATGTTTGTCAACATGTCAACACGGACGCCGTTGGATCAAATTCACACGTATCTTGATGCCCGATTAACCAGACAAAGAGGCGGATTTCGAAACGGTACCTTCAATATTATCACTTAATCTTTGTTAGTGTCGTATATATATGTATAGTAGTTTTTTTCATGGGATTGAAATTTCTTTTATTTTTTTTCTGAAGAAATTTCTGCTACTTTGCAGTCTTTTCATCAACAAGTTGTTTTCTTAGTACTATGCAGCCTTTAGTGGGCAAGTAGGTGCTTCCTGCTTCATCTTAGTGTTTTAGTATGGATTTTGAATGTTTTTCCTGGTTCATGAATTGGGTTTTGGATCTGGGAATTAGGTTCAAAGTTATATTATTTATAAATGCTTTCTGAACTTGGTTCTTTTATTTTCTTTTATATTCTCCGTGATTTTAAGGGTAGGGTTTGTTCTGCTCTAAAAGTTTTAGCATATTGTAAGCCCTTGTTTGTGCTTTGAATTATTTTACCTTGCCCTTGTGTATCTGCTTATAAATGTTGATACTTGTTCTACTTTGGGCTAGGATCTTGGTTAAGAAACATGGAGAAAACATAAAGACTAGTAAATTTTGGTTTGTGTTACATGCTGTTTGAGTTTTAACAGTAGAAGTAGTTGAATAAACCCTTGATTTGTTTACCTTTCATATATCTTCTTTAAGTTTTTACTTAGCAAATTCAGCTGTTCACTGTAGTCTCAAAGTCATGTAGATTTTTATCATTGGTCATTTCTTTTTAATTTTAAAAAATGGCAACCTTGAATGTTGACAAGTCTTTTAAACACTTTTCTTTAGTCCTTAAATCTGTTATAGCTCATGCCAGCCTTTATAATATGCTTGATTACCTATAAAAGTCCCACTTCTCAAGCTTGTCCTGGGAGACACCAGAATCTGGGGTGAGTTTTTGGTGAACAACTAGTTGCATTTATAACGAGAATTATAGTTTTGGTTGTAATTTGTAAGGGACTAAGGGTTTTACAAGAAAAATCTCTTGATCGGCTCATCAATTCTTGGTGTTGTGCTACTAAAATTCTTTTCCGTTTATGATTGCGTAAGTGATTATGTTTTATGGACATGTACTATGTATCTTGTCATGAACTATAAGCTGTTGACTATATGTTTTTAATCATCTGAAGTACAAGTTCATTTGTGTTGAAAGGAACTTCCATAGTAGACAATGCACTTCTAGGTATCCTTTGTCTTCGGTATTATATTCATAGCATCATAACTATCTCTATAGAGATCTTATTGGAGACGTTAAAAGAAATCTTATTGGATGTCATAACTATCTTTATAGAGATTTTGTGCATAAAGGAGAATGTAGCTTTAAATTGTTCTTGCATGTATTTACATGATTTCTTTGGCATTTATGTTATATTTCTTGGGATCGTTTCGATAACCATCGATTTAGAGCATAAGTTATTTTGCAATATATTTCCTATTATGTTAGAATTTTATTTTCAGATTTCAGTTTTGTACCTCACACATCATTTGACAATGAGAGAGAGCGCCCGTTCCCATTCATGTGAGGGCATGGATGTGAACAAGCGTGCTCTCTGTCATGCCATATATGATTTGTGCAAAGCTGTCATTTTCGGGTATCTATCTTTGTTGTTGCAACAGCTGGGGCAAGGGTAAGCAACTTCTTTCAGTAATATTTTTGCTTTCATCACATGGAAAATTCAATACAAGAAACATTTTTTTTTGCTTTCATTCATTCAGAATTAAGTGCAAGGAAAACCTTAAATTTATTTTCTGGTGCCAATAAGACAGCAGATACGGGAGGAGCTGCAAATGCTAGGATTCAAACCCTAAATCTTCTGATGTCACATATAAAAGGTGATTATATCAACTAGAATTAGGGTTTTGGGTTCATGCATTAAATATTTGTTTCATAGGTTATTTAACCTTGACACCGGTATAAAAAATCCGTTTCCAAAGTGTATTGAATTTGTCACAAAGGAGATAGTTTCTATTCCTTTATTAAACGTGACACAAGTATGATAAAAACGTGAAGATAAATCTTATCAGTATATTTTAACATTATTAAACCCTAAAATCGATTTCCGAAGCTGTTTTACTGCAATGCTGCTGCATCAGTGCATTGAACAATGTATTGAAGCTGGCACTTATTCTCCTATAAAATACTCTAATAAGAAATCTCATTTGTATTTGATCTGATAAGAAATTTGCAATATTGCAACCAAAGTGACTCTCATCATAACTGGCACCATTGTTGCACCACATGCAATTCTTCAAATATTGTTGTGTTCGTGTTCTGATGCAAAATCAACAGGATGCAGAATGTGTCTGACATTTCATCATAAAGTGGAGGAGAGGAGGAGAAAAGTGAAGTGCCAATCCATATTTTCTCAGGTTTGAACTATACATCTACGCCCTTGGCCCTTTTCAACTATTCCCTTTGATATCCGTGTTTGGAATACACGAATTCTCTTGAAACCATTAACCTCTAGTTTGTTTGAGTTGAAGTTGTGTGACTGTGACAGTAATTGGAGAGGAAGATGCAATTGATATGTGGTACAGGTTGAAAGTGGCAACTAGGATGAAGCTATGACTATTGAAGAAGCGTAATTATGACAAAAGAATGAACTTGAGAAAAATTATTGTATTTAATATGAATATAAATAATATTCTAAAAACAAAACTAACTTTATCAAACAAAACATATTTTAAATATGAACAATTGTGAATGCTTTGTTTCATGTAGGCATGTATGGTGAAATTTGTTTTGTGCTAATTGCTGTCTTCCTCATCTTTTTCTCTGTTTATTCACTACAAGTACAATCACAGATACTGTTAGCACTAATTGCCTTTAAATCTATGTTGACTCTTCATTTTTCTTGAAGTATTCATATCGGAACATTTTCGGGCATGGTAGGGCCGATGTGGAACAGCCAAGAACCTCCAAGGAAAAACATAGAACAATAGAATATATCTCCGTCGTAACATACTCGTATTTGACATACACTTACAATCGAACTTATCTAGCATGTAATGAAGGGCTGGTTGATCCGTTGATTTGATTTTACTGTTTTCCCTTAGTTTCCAACATGTTTAAGAGGTTTTTTCGTGTGGAATTTGTTAATTTCCCTTTGGTTGGTGTAGGACATGGATAAACTCAATTTTCAAAGCCTTTCAAGCATGCATATTTAGATGAATCATATCTGAAACTGGTGTTCAAATATGTGCTGGTGACAGGAAATGGAGTCTGATTATCATAATTGGAAATGGAGTCTGATTATCATAATTGGAAATGGAGAACGAGTATGGGGTTTGAGCTTCAGCAGCTGTTGTGGTTTGCTAGGATTTTTAACCTACCAAATTCTAACCAATTCCCACTTCAACGAAACCATTGATTTAAACCCTAACCCTAGTTTGTTAATATTCAAAGTCACCAAACTATATTTTTCTAAACCTTGATATTGAATTTGTCATGGATTGTACTCAGATGAATTGCCGGCACTAAACCTTGAAGCTTGTGTAAAACCCATAGTAAATGTGAATGCATTACGAGAGCGGGATTTTATTTTATTTGAATAGTTTGAAGTGATTACATGATAACGTGCGTTCACTCTGTAAAAACAATTGTTCAAACTTAATCTCAAGGAATAACAATATTTCCTTTAACTATCGAGGTCAGTGGGTTCGGAATTTTCTTATTGTGGTTATAGGGCAATACAAAAGTTGTAGGTATTAACAAGAAAATGCTATATATACACGTGAAACAGAATTGTTAGTAATTCCAGTATAATCATCACGGCTCACAGACCTTATCATTATAAGGGAAAATATTCCTCATCAAATTCCTTTTAGATCCCACAGGCCACAGGTTTCTCATTCCCACTCTTCTTTTCATAACCTTTTCTCCTTAGCGAACTCGAACATCCCACTTTCTATCCTTAACAATACTTAACTAACAACTTTATCCAACAATTGTGTTAAAACAAGGAGAGAAAAAGAGGGTAAGAAGAGAAAAAAGATGAAGAAAATGACAAAAAATACATAAATTGGGTGTTTATATAATTCTTTAGAACGACGCCGGTTTAAACATTAATAGCCATAATAAAATGATGTTTTAGTCACTTTTTGTGATAAAAAATGTGTTCATATCATCATGTCGTTTAGACTTTAACGATTTAGTGTTTACGTTGTAAAAAAAATTTACTGATATAAGTGAATCGATAATCAATTTAAATTATATTATAACTATGTTAATTTGTTATTACGCATAATTAAATAATAAAAAATTAGATTAATGAATAATTATTTTTTAAGAACTTGATTACGTAATATAATTTAAATAATAATGATATCAGAAATCATTTCTAATTCGCGCGTTGCTTCATCTATACAAGTTGCCTGAAGCGGCCAGGAAATTTAAGTAATTTGCGTTAGGACAACATTTTTGGTACCCAAAATTGACCCATGTCTTTACTTACAAAATGCAATAACACCAGGGGCTTTATTGTCATTCCACGTTATACTCAAAGACAATGATTTGATTAATTTAAAAAAAAAATTAAAGTTGAAACAAACTCACAAGCTTTTTCCCATGTCAAAGTTTCAATCTTTATTAGAAACAAATAATTGCGAATTATATATAAAAATAAGAACAAAACCCTACAATCAAATTGGAGTTGATCTAGTTTTGCTCTTCTGTACCAGGAAGCATTGTCTTTGAAGAAGCACGATCGAAGCTCGCAAGATTTCATTAATGGATGAGTAAAGTTTCTTTCTTTTTCTCTTTCTTTAGTTAGAAACTTTGGGTTTTTTTTATTTCAAGATCTCCCCCATTGAAAAAAAAAATAGTTTCTTTCTCAGATCTGAGCCGTACCCAAAGGACTATGACACCGGCAACGGCAACCCCAGGAGACTGACATCAACTTCTTCGTCTTCTTCGTCCACAACAAGCGTTCACGTCACCGCCTTGGACGGCCTAGTCAACGTTAACTCCCTTTTCACAATCGCTGTCTTCGTGGGTCTTTCTTTGACTACCCCAGGCCAGCGCAGTCTCGAGAATCGAGCCCCCTGCGACGCCGGCATTGACGTTGCTAAAAAGCTCTTGGTCTTCGAGGTCGTCTCCTTCAGCTTCTTCCTTTTCTCCTCGCTGGTAGCTCAGGGCTTGAAGCTCGCCATCAATTTGTTGAACAGCAAAGACGTGGACGAAGCTTTCAGAGCCCACATTAACCTAAAAGTTTTGAGGTTCGGGATGATGGGCTCCGCCGTGGGGTCCGTCATGGGGTGCTTGTTTCTGATGCTTTCGATGGTGAACGTGATCGAGATACGGCTGGGGATGTTGTCTTGTGGCAGTAAGTCCGCCATTCATTCGGTGGCGGCTTTGGTTACTCTGGTTTCTTCTGCCCTCTTGGTTTACATTTCCACTGCTGTTTATGCTTTCTTGCATTGAATGATGAAAACACACTTTGGTGGCTATTATTTTGTTGAGTTATGTTGGCCTAAAGTAAGAATTATAAGAATCCAATATGCATTTAATTTCAATATTGACTAGTTGGTTGCTGTTTCCTAATAATGATTTTGGCCCTACGAGTTTAGTAAGAATTGTTGTACACTTGCTTTGAATCAGAGTAATATATGCACAAGGCGAGGGATGAAATAAGTCAAAAATGGTTTTGGGTTTAAGGAAATGATATCTTGTAAGGAATGATTTGCTTGCCTTATCAACCTGACTGGTTGCAACTTGCAAATTATAACGTACAAGTCTTCCTCATCATATATTGTTCCTAACTTTGTCCATATGTATACAAGTATGAATAAATGTTGTTTGGTCATTCAAGTGACCAAAATTTTGGATACACATTCTACCAAAAATTGAGAAGTTTTTGTTCGAGTTTGAATTTTAATATTTTGATAAAATAAATAAATTTAAAAATATTTTTAGACTTAATTAATATTTTCAAAAAATCGTCTTAGCATAATGTTGTGATGAGATAACAAATTATTTATGTTCTTAGCATAATAATAATTTATAAAACACGTGATATTTTCTCAAATTTTTTTATAAACCTATCAGCTAGAAAAACTTAATGCGGCAAATCCACCACCTTTCATCATTTGCTTGAACCTCCTTGAAATTCACCATTCCATCTCCATCCACGTCCACTTTCATTATCATTTTCTTGCAATCTTCTATACTTCTCCCTTGCTTCAACCCCAACGATGATAGAACCGATCTCAACTCCTCCACCGTGATGAATCCATCTCCGTTTTGATCGAACACGTTGAATGCCTCTTTCATGTCCTCTTCCTCGTCTCTCTCGTCCATTATCGTCTGATACAAAGCTCCGAATTCGTCGATGTCTACGAAACCGTCTCCGTTCACGTCGATCTTATCGACCATCTGGTTTAATTCCTTATCCTCGATAAAAATTCCCAAATTTACTAATGAATCGCTAAGCTCCTTTTTTGTGATCTTGCCGTCTCCATTCTTATCGAACATTTGAAACATACGTCGAAGTTCAGCCGGATCTGGTCCTTCTTCCATGTAAGAGTAAATTTTGATTTAAAAGGGAAAAATTGCAAGTTTGTAGCAAAAATTGAAATGAGAGATGGGAAAGTTGATTATTAACAAGGAAAATTCGAAGGGATTAAATGATTGACAAATAATGATATGAACAGAAAGAATAATAAGTTGGCAATAGAGGAAAAAGAAAGGGGATTTTAAGCATTCAAACTCCACACTAAAAATGTAAAAGAATGTTGAATCAAAATTAATTAATGGTTATTACTTTAGATCTAAAATTAGATTTTTTGTGGAGTAAATTCGTTGTTTATCGGTTAACATTCTAACGGAATATGATAGTATTTACTATATATAATTATTTTTTTAAGTAATTACCGGTATCCGATCTATTAACCAATTAATCCAGATCGGGTATTATAGAGGCGATGACAACCCTCCTAACCCAGTTTACTCCATTCACAAACACCATGATTTGAACCCCTGACATTGCTTAATGAATTTATATCATTCCACTAGACAAATTAGTTCATAATATATAACTATTTTTTTTTATAAATATATTACATTACAACTTAAGAATAAAATAATAATACAATTGGTGATCCAAAATCTAAAATGAAATTATCCAACTTAAAATCACTACAAACATGTATTTGTATTATTATTTAAATAATAAAATGATAAAATTATAATATTTTTGTTGGCAATACAAAAATCTCATATTAAATAAGAATAGTTTAACGTGATTCAATTTGTTTAATACGTATCTCTTTAGACATGATCCTCCTAATAAAATATATTCTATCACTATTATTTCCATCACTAGATATATAATACGATCATTAAAATAATATTTTCCCCATCATTTTGCCTCAATTTGAGTTTAGAATTGAAGTTGATATCGCTTACGGTTTATGCTACAATATCATCTCAGTTTTACGTGAAAAACTCCTTATTTTTTGTGTTTTTTTTTTCGAACATCGAATTTCACCAGGGAAAAAAATACTTTCCAAATTATATTCCTATTTACCGAGAAGATCAATATTGACTGATTTCCACTTTGATATTTGTGTGTACAAAGATTAAGAGCTATGTTAATCTCAGGAGCAATATCGATTTTAACAATTAGAACAATCTCTGAATGCATGTCCTCTTCCTCGTCTCTCTCAGCAGACACACAAGTACTAGTAAGAATGTCAAGATTCAGAGCATCAACTAGTGATGTACACATCAACCAAGCACAGTATAAGAGTTTGGGTGAAAACAAGGTCAAGGTAACTCTGTCCCATATTTTTGAAGGAGAAAACAACTCAAGGACAATGTTGAAGGCGTATATCTTCTGTTAATGCAAAATTATCTCCATGCATAATTAATTGACACATCAAAAATATCAGGAGAACATCAGAAATCAGAAAATGGGTTAACTTGCGTGGTGAAGGCATCGCCTAGTCAACAATCTAAATGACCAATATAATTACTGAATATAAGAGACAACAACGACATTATCATGTACTATGAATGCATTTCAGCGATTTCGTTATTGTAAACAAAGCTTTCTAGAACCGAGTTATGCTGAGCTGCAGAATTATATGCACAAGTTTCACACTTTTTACTTCTCATAAAATGCATCCAGCAAGCCATTGAGTGAGAGACATTTCTAATTCCAAACCATTTTTGTCTAAGAAAAACATTTCCTTTTCCCCCATTATTCTTATCTAGTATAAGATTGAACCATATATTGTAGTCCAAGCTAGCACACTAGATCGTAACAATACTGAAGATTATGACTTTAACATTGTCATCATGTAATGAAATGCATGTAAAGGTCCACTTGAGAAGAAAGGTACATACAAAAACCCAAGTCTAATTTGGAGATAAAGTTAGTATAGAATTTAATGCTATGTTTGGTTAGTAGGTACTAACACAGGGGAAAACTTAATTATTGCTATGAGCTTTAAAATAGTTTACCATAAGAAAAATAAGAACTAATATAAATCTAAGCTTGAAATTAGAAAGATGAGCAAAAACTCAAGTAAAAAATAATACATATTCAAAATAAGCAATATTTATTCCTTCTCTTTGTTCAAACTAAGTCATGTGGGTGGCTAAAAATTACCAAATGAAAGTTTGTTGCTAACTTATGTACTAAAACATGAAGAATAAATAACACTCCTACCGAATGTAGCATAAAAGGTTTATTTAGGGACACAGTATAACATTTAAAAGGGAAAAGAATGACTCCCACTAAATGTACTACAGAATTTAACCTAATGTAACTCTAAAAAATCATTCACTTCACTGGAAATAGAAAATTCATATCAGGAACATGTACAAAGACTGAACTGGAATCAAAATGCATCTAAAATGATGGGTTTTAACTTATGTAGGAACTTTGTTTGTTTCTTAGCTATCTTATTATGAACCCATCAGATATAATTCTTCTCTTCCCTGTACTTATGAGGCCTAAATTAATTGCAAACGGCTTATGACCAAAGATAAGGTGAACTACTTGATGGAGTAGATCATTCTTATGTTCCTCAGAAATCCGATAGTGAATCAAGTGAATCAAAATGCAATTACTCTGACGTGGCCGTCATCGTGCAAGCTAAAGAAATTCATAAAATCCATTTGATTTGTTAAGCTGTACATGATAACACTCCCTTCACCCATAAATCATCGGACTATGTCAATTATGCATAAACAAAAGTTTGCCAAGGAATTAAAGATCACTACTTTAACAAAAAAGAAAGATCAAATGTACCTCCTCAAATTAACAAATCTGAAACCGTCAAAAGAAATAATCGGATGTTCTTTATTTGATACAGCTCTAATAATCTAACGTAGACCTAACATTTAATACTTGAAAAAAAAACATCTCACATTCATTTGAATCCCAGTTTTCAGTAATTACCTCGGAAAGGGCTCATACGGTTCAAAATTTTCTAGCAATTCAATAAAGCATGGCAATGAAGAAATTGCAAAATAGCATAAAAAACCATAAAATATCTTGCATTTAGATTCCAACGCACCCTAATAACATTGAGCTGCAATGCACAAATCAGAAATAAAATTTGTTTATTTCAAAGTAACAAAATCATTATTACTTCCACAAAAACAACAGAAATGCACTAAAAATTCCCTCATTCGTCTTGTTTTTCCTATAAATAATTATGGGATATCCCAGGGCTTCTGCTCAGGGACAGCGACGACCATACCTTGGAGCTGAGGCGTAAGCACGACCTGACATCCAAGCCTGGAATGCTTGTTCAAGATACGACCCCTCGAATTCCTCACCAACACATATTCCTCATCATAGGTACGCGGCGGAAGCCTCTCGAGCCACTCCTGGGCGATGTTGACCTCGCATTCGGCGGAGCAAGCGTCGATCTCCTCGAGGCGGTGAGAGGCGGGGTCGATCAGCCCGCAGTTAGTCAAGGCACGAAGTAAGGTATGGCCCGCTAGACCCACAACCTCACGCTTCTGGCCTTCAGGGTCGATGGCGAAGAGCTTGACAATGGCGAAGAGCTTGACGATCCGGTCAGCAACTTTTTTGGAGGAGGAGGAGGAAGGGGAGGTTAAGGTGGCGGAGGATCGGGTGAGGATTTGGGAGGAGAGTGAGGGGAGACGGTGGATTTGGGAGGTGAGTTTTTGGAGCGTCGAAATCGCCATTTTGGGGGAAGATGTAGAGAGATTTTGAGAAGTGTTTTTGTTTTCAGCAACTTGGTTGGATTAATCGGATCCCTCCTTTGCTTAGGGTTCCCTTCGGTGCGCAAGCCTGCGATGCCCTACTCATAACCTTGCGTTTTGCATTTTCTCCTTGCCAAAAACATAATAGGGTAAACTAAGTATTAGTCATCTAACTAATCCGGTGGTTCCGTTTTGGTCACTCAAGTTTTTTCCCCAAACTTATACTTGAACTTACATTTTAGTTTTGTTTCGCAGTTTTCGCACAATCTCATAAAAACATCATTTCCTTAACTAACGATATTACTTGGTGGGTTCTAATAAAATTTTATTATTAATAATTATTTAAAATATTATAATATATTAGTTTAATGTAAAAATAAGTACTCAAAATATACCTCAAGTTAACTTTATGTGCCTAGAGAATTTTTTTTGTTAAAAATAAGTACTTAACGTTTTTTTTCATTACATTTTTAGGTGCTTGTTCCGCCATGTTCGTCGTATTTGACTGTTATTTGAGAAGTGCCACTATTATATTTTTTAAAAAAAATTAAAATTTCATAAGTGTGACATGTGTTACTTAATTATCCAATTTAATGAAAATCACTTAAAAGTGTAACATTAAAAACGTTAAACACTTATTTTTAATGAAAAATCCATTAACCACCTAAAATTAACTTTGCGTAATTTAAACTCATATTTTTACATTAAACCTAATATATCAAATCTTATTTACATTAAACCTAATATATTAAATCTTATTATACACAAAAGAATGCTTGTGCAAGACACGGTCACAAAGGAATGGCTACACAAAAAGCTAGCCTATGCTTTCAATTTAGATGATTCACACAATATAGACTATCCCACATAAAACATCTTCAATCCTTGGTTATATTATCACGACATAAAGATCATAAAAGTCGGACCTTACCTACATCATTAAGACAACCATCATAAATCTTCATATTATCACAACATACAAGGCAAACTTCGACTATATCATAAGGGTATTCCCCAGCCAGCCTAACGTCGTTATTGACTACACTATATATCACACTGCAGATCCATAACTCTTGCTTGTTTCAGGATAAATTTCATCAATGGTACCCGAGATTTTGTTTTAATGTAATCCTTTATGAAAAAATAATCACTTTAAAATCCAAATGAAATGGTTCACGAATTAAAATCGATGCAAAACTACATATATAATTGAAACTATGAACAAAACTTATTCCACTATTTATTTATGAATGACACACTGTCGGATCTATTAAGCGATCTCAGTGATAAAATATAATGTTATTTTTCTTAGAGGTTCCGGATTCAAACAACTGCATCTACAGAGTGTGTGTTATCAATAGCTAAGAAAATTTTTGAACGAATACTACATTGTAATCACCTTATACTATTAAAAAAATGAATGATAAACTGTCATTGTAGAAGCCGGTGAACACACACACATATATATATGGAACTTTCCTTTCGTCCAACGTGGAACTTGGGAACAGGGGTGTTCAGTTTCAAAGCTGAAGAAAAACTGGGTTTCTTCCCTCCAAAATTGTAACTTACATTTATCTAAGCCTCAAAAGCAAAACATGCATTTGATTCCAAATATGATAAGTAATCAAAGGTTAGCATAGTATACAAGGAAAACAATACCAAATACAGGACAATCTGGCCCGGATATACTGCTGCAATCCAGGCTAGTGGTCTACAAGAAGATTTTCTGTCTTCTTCAAATAACGGCATCACATACAATCAATGATCACGCCTTGAAGGTTGGCATCAGATTAGTAGCAAGGTTAATATCAACTCTAAGCCTACTACTAAGCTGCTGCAAATACAAATATTATCTCCGAGCACTGAAAAATTACGTCCCTCATAAATCGTCCAAATTAATAATAAGATCCTTGCACCAGAGAATCTCTGATGGCTTTGTTTCTGGACTACTCTGAGAAAAGTGATCAGGCATTGCAGAGGCTTTGTCTAAGGAACTTGCTAAATCTGTCTCCCATAAACCCAAACTACATGCCCTCTTGTATGTCTCAAAATCTGCTGCCCTTAAGCCTTCTGAGACCAGTTCCCTTAATGATCCACTGATTCCTTCGCTGCTCATTACATCCAGGAAAGCTTGAGATAAATTCGGTTGCAAAAAATCAATACAGCACAGCTCGTATCAATTAAACAAACATCAAAATCTCCAGAGAAAACATCATGCGACCCATGAAGCAGGCTCTTAAGCATTCCGGCAGACAACATATCCCTAAATCCCCACAAGAAAACTAGATCCTTGCAGTCTACTTTTCTTGGGCTATTTGTCCGAATTCTGATACCTCCATCAAGTGATCCTTCGCAACTTCCAGAAGATGATCTGAAGTCATTTGCATACCCATCAAGGAGAGAAGTAATATTTCCCTCTCTAACACCGGGAGTGACCTTCAGTACAGAGCACAATTTTGCAAACAAATAACATATTCTCACGACAGTTTGCCCGTGAATCTTGCTTTCATCTGACAAAGCTAAAAAATACAACATGATGCACAAAAGACATAAATGTGAAGCATGGACAATAACATAGTGATACATAACCAAGTAGACAAGAATGAAAGTAGGAATTCATGAAAAGCAGCTGCCTAACATAACTAGAGAGACACTAACCTCCATGAGAAAGTTCCATTTCAATGGGTGCAAAGAAATGATTCTTGAGATAAGATATGGCTGCAGGTATGCTGGTCACGTTTTCTAGAGGACCAATTTCCTTCATCATATGGTTAACATCAAATATATGGGGAAAAACTGATCGTAAAGAATGAAGAAACTCATCCATATTGAGAGGAAGTGGAGATACGAATTTTGAATGAATAACCGAAAAATCTGCAGGACCAAGTTATTGTTTAGGCCAACATTAATCTAAAACATAAACAAGCATGAAATGGTTTAAAGGTAGTGGAATTTTTGCCATAGAGATACACCATTAATGATATTGTGAGAGACGACAGGTTTCTGCGAAGCGGATATCAATTCGATCACTTCTCGAAATCCTCTCATTTTCTTGTTTTGTTCTTCTTCAACATTCTGAAGCTCCTTCTGTTAATCAAGATACCCATTCACAGAGTTTAGAAAGAATCAAACCACTCATTGTGATCAAGGATTGAGAATTATTTGCTACCTCAAAAAGACTCTTGTCTTCTTTTGAACTTGTTAAAACAACACGAATTGCCTGGGTACCTCCACCCTTTGTTGGGATTTTTAAAGCAACAAGGTCATCGGAGAACGCTCTTAACATCTATAAAGCATTAAGAAATTCCAGGATATTAATCACGAAAGAAAAGCCCAAAATTTGCCATTTCTCATAACTGCATGGCATGAGATATCAGGCAAGTCTACCTCTGAAACAAGTTGAACTTGACGTTCACTGCAAACATCTATTGTCATGCTCGGCCTAGAGCCATATAGTTCACCCCCTGAGACAAGTTGTTTCAGTGATTTTATAAGAGTATCTGCCATGAAAAAAGTAAGCACACTGAGCAAATAGGAAATGGTGAAAAATATATTAAATAACCCAATATCTAATACAGCATCATTTACCATCTATCTTTATGTTTGAGGAGTCTGTGCAGGCTTTTTTCCAATGCTTAATACGGGATTTAACCCTTTCTACAAATACCGTATCAGCAACAGTTGGCGGGGAAGAAGAAGGTATGTGATTTACAGCAATTGGATTGCCCATTCGAACTTTTGCTACCAACTCTTGTGCTCTGGATAAGTATGATACACCTATAAAAAAAGCAAAGAAACTCTTTCGGATTAGCTCAAAATTCCGCAGAGAATTTACATCCTAAATATAATTCTTTTGAAATTATGTGGTAATGCACACAATACACTAGTTCTTCACTGAGTGTTGTCACTTCTCACCATGTTCCAAATATCATATCAGTAATGGAAGCGTTCAAAAAGAGAAAGAAATAATATTTTACCATCATATATGCAGGCATTAAAATCGAAACCATGCCGGGCCATAGCTGTCAAATAAGAAGTTTGGCATGAAAAACTGTAGGAAGGCATCCCAATTTTTAGTTCATCTCTTGGGAACAAATGGAAATTATATCTGCAATAACAATTAAAAAAATAAGACCTAAAAAGGAAGAAAAGCAAAAACTTAATAAAGATCAAGTAAAAGCTAATTCTCTGAACCTAAAATTTCAACCCGTAAGGTAAACCTGAAATTTATCATAGCTAAAATTTTAACTTCTAATTATCCAAGTTACCTTCAATTTACCGGAAACTTAAAAAACATTTCTTTTCAAATACGAAATAAATCATCATATAATAAAAAGGTGGAGAACTCACGGGTGGGCAGCGACTTTGGAGCCAGATATGGTAAAGGGGCAGATGGCGAACTGGAGGAGCTGGAAGCGTTCAGCGGCGCGTCGAGCCTTGAGGTAAGCGATTTCCGGCGTGTCAAAGGAGGAGACTCGATTCCAAGAGGCGGAGAAAGAGCCGGTGTTCTGGAGGGAAACGGCGACGAAGTCGGAAGAGGAGAGATGGGACTTGAACTCCTGGAGTGAGTCGTTGAAGTTGGATTTTGTAACCTGCTTTACGCTCCATTGGCGATGGCTGTTTTGGGATATCTTGGTGCAAAATAGGCTTCTCCGTATTAAAACCACCATTTCCACCCTTCAGTATTCGTTTTGATTCGCAGGGGTTTTCGAGCGGTTTTAGTTTCGGACTTGTTAAATAGATTTTCCGTCGGGTCGGGTACCGGTAACATAGCCCATATCTTTGATTACTAAATGGTCACATTTTTGGGTAAACTACATAGTCACTTATGATTATGCAAGTTTCTCTTTCTCACACTAATATTTTAAAATTAATTATTTAATTACTAACATTATCGATTTATAATAAATTGGTCATTAACTAAAATTCATTGCTGGGAGTGACAGAATATTAATGTGGTGCGTTAACCAAATGACATGACAACCTTTTTCCAATGGAGATCGCATTCTATAATGATTGGTCGTTCCCCTCTTTAAAGACCCACAGTCCCTAAAATATTAATATTTCATGTTCATTATTAAGGTGATTAAATGCCTTCTAAGAAGATTGTAGACTTCTCCTAGAAATCAAATAAATCTTACTATCTTCAATCTGGTTATAGAGTTGGTCAACCACAGCATTAAAGCAATACACTTGTATTTCCCTACCATCTGAATCAAGAAGATCAAAAGAGAACTTTATCTTCACCACAAGTATTATCATAGAGCCGAGAGCCTAAGTTCTCCTTTGACTGTTACTCTAGTCTTTATTATCCACTTGTCCTGATATAGATTCAGAGCAAAAATTGAAATTATCCTGTATTGGCTACTGAACCTTTGATACTGTACATTAGAGATGGTTGTTGATATATGGGTATGAATTGGAAGTTAGAGAAGCTAATGGCCAAAGATTATTGAAACCACCACTTCGAACACCAAATACATCAAGGAAAATCAGCTGAGGGATCTGCTTTAGGATAAAAGGTAGTGCATTTGCAGTAGGATTTCTTATCTGTTTAGATTTATTCAAACGAGAACTTTCCTGCCATTGGTTCATTGTAGACAACATGGTGGTTTGATTGATAAAATTAAAAGATTATTGGTCAAAATGAAAAGATAAAATAGTTAAGTGGCCATAGACCCACTTGGCGACCAATAATTGATGTTTATCCTAATACTGTATATACTCAAGCTATCAAGGCTGTCCCCTTCCCCTTCCCCTTCCCCTTCTTCTCCCTTCGCTTCTCTTTTCTCCCAATTATTCCTTAAACCTTAACCCCCTTTCTCTTTCTATTGTACATACCCTTAAAAAGAATTTTCGAGCCTCCAACAAAGGACAGAAGAAAACGAAGGAATTATGATTCCTTTAATCCCTTCCTTACTTCTTCACATTATTTCCATCGTCGTGGTTGTCAACGGCTACAACAATTCTATTTACGATATACTAAAGGACCACGGGCTTCCCATGGGGCTGCTTCCGAAGGGGATAACCCGGTTTGACTTCGACGATACTGGCCGATTCGAGGTTCATTTGGATCAAGCCTGTAATGCCCATTTTGAAAGCGTGTTGCGTTACGACATGAACGTGTCTGGGACTTTGAGTTGCAAAAAGATCGAGGAGTTGTCGGGCATTTCGGCCAAGGAGTTGTTTCTTTGGTTTCAGGTTAAAGGGATCTGGGTCGATGTTCCGAGCTCAGGTGTTATTCATTTTGATGTCGGTCTTGTTTATAAGCAGTATCCCTTATCGATGTTTGAGACTCCAAAGGATTGTATGGTGGTTGGTGATTCTGAGTTCGCTGATTCCATTCGAGATGCCAAGTTTTTAGCTGAAGCAATAGCCAAGGTTCAATTTTTATAATACCTTTACTTTTGATTCATTAATACTTTGTGAAATATAAGCTAATTATGTTTCTTTATACAATTTATAGAGACAATCTGTGAATCTCCGAAATGAAGTTGATCAAGAAAGTTTAGGGAGGAACCAGATGTAGAAAGATGTGCAAAAGAAGGTGTGCAATAGCTCAATCAGCTTTCTATCAAGCTTATTTTGGGGGGCCGCCGTCCCCCTTGTTGTAATTTTGGTCGGGGAGTTTGCTCTAGGTGGTTTTACACATCCATCCTGTGTGATCTGCTTGTCCTTTTTTCCCTCTGTTATATTTACCGCAGAGTCAGTTGATATTCCAACTCCACTTGGCTCATGTCTGCGTACGGGATGGCCGATGAGGAGAAAATGGAAGATTGGGAAAAGGTATTTGTTTGATCGTCACGGTTGGCTTTACCCTATGGAGATGGGAGCATTTGGTTGACAATTTCAGGTGATATAATCTTATGAAAATTTATTCATATGTTAAATTCTCATTGTATTTGAATATAAACATGGTTGTTAAATTGAGTTTCTTTTTGTTGTAATAATAAAAATTAGATTGATGAGACAAGAACGCCTTCATGAATTAATGACGATGCAGAGTTGAATAATCAGTGTCTTGCTTCATTTCCATCATTTATAGCTTGCTTTGTTAACATTGAAAGGCCTTTGTATGCTAGTATATCATGTTTTGGCTCTTTTGTTGATTATTTTCTAATCTTTGGCTTCCCCGACCGTATTGTGTACCGTGAGTTCTATAATTTATAATTATACATCATTTCAGCGATGAGTGATGGAGAGAAATTGGTGGGCTTGAGGACATTATTATCTGATTGTCTTCTGTTTATATAACTTTTCTTTAAGGTACTTGTATTGTTATCTTCAGGTCTAAAACCCAATGGATATGTTTTCATTGTCATAGAGCTTGAACAAGGTTTTTTAAACTCTGTGTAGTGATGGTCGGGGGAGTAAATTTGAGTTTCCTTTTCGTTATATATATATATATATGTATGTATTGCCTTGGTAAGGGTTGTTTTTGCAAAATTAGTGAGAACCGAGAAACTTTCGATAATATCTTCTTTCAGTGCCTAAGTTATTCAATCCAGAATCAATTAACTCACTGGGTACACGATATAGTCAAGTAAGGCTTTCTGCATAATGGATCTTGGTGAGATATTCTGAATCTTTTAAAGTGTGTAATATGCCTTCTCTTCGTCCCCAACCCCCTTGATTTAAAGTCATGGAGATTGTCATATGTAACTGGATACATTCCAGTCTTGTAAGCAGTCATATAACTTGATAGCCAAATGCCAAATTGGATGTACTTATTCTTTGACCTGTTAAGTTTTGTACATGGTTTTCAGAACCGGACCGGTTAGCGAACCGGTCATGTTACCGGTTCACTGGTTCAGCCGGTCGAACCGGTCCGTCCGGTCGGAAGAACCGGACGACGTCATAATTATTTAAAAAATTAAATAAAAATACCAAAAATATTTAATAAAAAATAATTTTTTATATCACAAGTCATATTCAAAACAAGTCATAACATATATAAGTTAAAAATCATAAAATCAAGTGAAACAAAATGATTCAAATTAACTACAACATAATATTTAAGGTAAAACATATTAAATAATAAATATAATTATATAACTATAATTAAAAAATAAATTTGGGGTTAAAAAAATTATAACAAAATGATATTGTTTGTTTTAATTTTTTTTTTAAAAAACAATCTCACATGGCTAAGAAACATAGAAGAGCATCTCAAAAGTCTAAAGAGTAAAAATATGAGAACAAAACAATCTCATATTGCTAAGAAACATAGAAACGCATCACAACTAACTTCTATAAATAATATAGGTAATTTGGCATTCAAAATCATGGATCTTTTTTGTGAGTATTGAGTGAACTATTCTTTCACTTCAATCAAGCTCGAATTTTAGGCTTCAATCGAGCTTTTAATTTTTTTTTTGAGTTCAAGCCTTTTTGAGTTCAAGTTTCAATATTATATTTCGAGTTTGAGTTGAACTTGATAATTTTTAGCTTGTGAGTTTGAGTTGAGTTGAGCTTACTTTTAAAGTTTTCAAGTTCGAGTCGAGCTCAGCAATACTCGAGTTCGACTTGGCTCGTTTAACAAACGACATTGTTTGGTTTAATTTTTTTAAAAATAAACAAAAATCCCGGTTTTTCCCTGTTTTTTTCGGTTTTCAGCCGGTCCGGTTCGAGAGGTTCAGCGGTTCTGGCCGGTTCACTAATAGCGGTTCAACCGGTTTAGATTGAACTGGACTAAGCAATGGTTCCCGGTTGAACCTGTTGAACCGATCGGTCTGGTCCGATTTTCAAAACAGAGGTTTTGTATGTTTCATCCCTGAATATTTGAATTAGATAAAGCCAATGTAAACCACTGTAAATAAGTATTCTATAAATTTTTTTTAAATTAATCACTAGTATCCGATCTACTGACCGACTAATCCAGATAAAGTACTGCAGAGGCGAGGGATTTAGTTCGCTCCATTCGCAAACGTCAGGATTCGAACCCTGACTTTACTTAAGGAATTAATTTTGCCTTGGATGATAACTTATAAAGACTTTTTAAGCAAATTGCAAGACAACACCCTAGAGTTTAAAAAATAACATATAAAAGGATTTTTTTAATAATTTAAAGTGATTATAAAGTAGTATCTGTTGAAAATCTTTCTGAATCATTGATAATGGGCACACACCTACATATACAACTGTTTAAACTCATAACCTCTAAGAAGAACAATACTCATTTTAACTATTGAGATTTCTTAATGGGTTCAACATATAAAAGGATATCGTTTTTCATGAAACTATAATAATAATAATAATAATAGTAAAACCAAATAATGGATTACTCGGATCATAAGTGTACTTATATGGACAAAGATCACTGCATAATTTTATATTGGGTTGAATTTATAAAATTTTAGAGATAAAAATAAATTATTAATACAAAATATAAAAAAAAATATTTGAATTATATAAAAATTAAAAAGAAATTAACCATCCATGTCAACGCCCTCGATCCATCCAATAATACAAATCCTTTTGTTGTTTCTTTTAGTATTATTGGGGGGGGGGAAGTGTAATTTAATTATTTTTTGAAGTTTTAAATCTGTAAATTTTATGTGTGGTTCAATTAAATTACATTAGTCTCACCTTAATATCATAGCTATCTTGATGTACACTCCTGCCATTCTAAGATCTCTTCAACAATATTTCTAAGCTTGAAAGGGAAAGGTTAGAAGATGATATCTGATCAACACATACATTAGAACCCAGAAACAATAACATAATTGAATGGGAGGATTAAATATATCTCTCTTTATATAAATAAACATATGATAAAAGAAAATCCCAGTATTTCGTAGAGTTCTTCCGATTAAAAACTGTGATTATTAATTTAGGACGAACCTAAAAATCTATATTAAGGGAGAAATTTATAAAATATTAGATACAAATTTAAAATTTTTAGGGTAATCGCTCCACCAGCCCCATCGATCCATTGACTATAGTATATCTGCTCTCTACAGAAAATAAAACACTTGCCATCTTAGACAGATCATCTCTGTATATGAATATTGTTCCCTTTCAACAATCCTATGGTTTTTGTATATTTATTCTATATTTATAACACAGATGTAATAATAAATATATATATATATATAATTACTGAAGAGAGTAGAGATTGGCAATTGTTCTCATCACATGTACCTGGGTGGTGAGGCACTTTATGTAATGCGCAGTTTCATCCAACAAGTTGCATAAATCCATGCCTTCACCACCTGGAACAACCTCTCTTAGCTCATCCGCTTGAACAGCCACCCCACCGACAACATGTTCTTCCTTGTTTTCTTTTCCATGGCTGCTCGTTTTTTTCACGACGGCGGCGGAGGTGGTAGTGGTACGGGTCCTGACAGATGATCTTCGTCGGCCGAAAGAGGCTAAACACCGATGGCTTGATCGGGTCCGGAGCCTCCAAAGAGTTGCCTTACTCCAAGTTCTCCTCGACCTAACCGAAAGCCATAGACTTGTCAGCTGCAACCTTGATTCTTCGATAACGTCGGAAGATCTCTATGGGAGAAGATGATGAGAAAGGGTTTCGAGCATTGATTTTCGTCAGGGCACGAAGGAACCTTGTGGTGAACCTGGATTTAAGAGAAGTAGGGTTCAAGAGCTGAGAATCCATGCTACTTTTTTATGTAAAAAAACCAGCTAGGTTGTATAACTAACATTGGTACGAGGGGTTTTCCATTTTTGGATGGATCAAATTCAGAAAGATTTGAAGAGAGATTTTGATTCTCTGACACATAGGGGGCAGGCCAGTTGCTCAGAAATGAACTCTCAAAGAACAAAATCTCATAACTTTTTTACTGACAGATTCTCTGACACGATATCTATAAAGACCAACCAGACAGCAAGAAAGACAGAGATGTTTGTTTGGGCAATTGGATATTTTCAAAGAACAAAAATACAACAAGAGATGGGAGATTGGGAGGTGTAAAGAGGAAGGAGGATAGTTTGGGAGATAAGCATTATTTATTATTATTATTATTCTGATATTTGGTGTTATAATACATAATTGAATTACACGTTTCAGGTTTCGTTTTCAGTTGAGGGTTTAGGAAAAGTGAAGATTGTGGGGCTGGAATAGCCAACTGCCATTTGAACGCACATGCTTCCATTCTTCTCACTTGGATTGTGGGCTCTCTTTGTTTCTTCTTTGGGAGGGGGCACCCTTCTATCTATCTCCTTTTCCATTTCCTTTGTTTTATTTTTTTTGATAAGTAAGCTTTTTCCTTTGTTTTTTTTCACTATACAATTGTTACAAATGTTGAAAGACATCATCATATAAATATTATTAATTTTTTTTATTAAATACTCATTCCAATCTTTATTCTTTTTAAGAGTATTTTAACCTAAACATTTTATTTAAAGATAAAATAATTCATGACTGAATGGAAATCATTAATTTACTAACAATCAACATTTTTTGTTGATGTAGTAAGACACGTGTATCCAATGTTCTGACGTGGCGTGTATCTTGTGTACATGAGTGATGGTGTGATACATATAATGTATCCAAAGTGATATGTGACATATGTCATGTATACCTGAGTGATAATATGAAGTATAACATGTGTATATGACTGATGATGTGACATGTGTTCAAAGTCGTAACATGTTACATGTCTAAAAATGATGATGTAGTACATATCATATATATATATATATATGAGTGATGACATGATATGTGTTGTGTGTCTAAAGTGATAATGTGACACATATAATATTTTATTTATTCGTTAACTATTTTATTTATGGTTAGTGAAAAAATTCGCAAGTCAATTTAGATTAAATATATAAATCTTAAAATAAATAGAAAAATATATTAAAAAATAATATATAAACATATCACGCAGCGGAAGATTTTGACAATAAAATTTGAGGATGTCTGTTTAAATATTCTTAAAAAATTTAAATCTTCCATTAAAACTTTTAATTTTTTTTAGAGAATTTAATTTAATTTTTTAATAAATTTAGATGATTAACTACATTTTTTAAAAAGTTTTGAGAGTTAATGAAATGTTTTGAAAATTTTAAAA